TATTACTTGTATGAATGCCTACATGCAGTACTTGCCCTATTTATGTATGAAGTGGACAAACCACAAACTACTTCTAATGCTCTTAGAAATCCTTTCAGAATACATACGGAGTTTTAGGAATTCAGTAGGCAATTAAGATTACAAAGAACCCTTATAAACCTAGATATTCAGGGGCCAGCCCAGGCAGAAAAGTAGGTGAGACTCTTATCTCTAATTAAGCACCAAAAAGTTGGAAATGGAGCTGAGACTCAAGTGTCAGAACACTAACCTTGAGTGAAAAAAACTAAAAGATAGCATTTAGTCTCCAAGTTTGACCCTAGTACTAGCACAATTGTATTTAAAAATCTTTTAAGCAAATATATCAATTTTTTAGCACTAACAACATAAAAGTAATTTTGATCCTTTTCACAAAACATCTATCTAATGCCAGCTCTTGGGAGCATTTCAGTGCATCTTGGAAGTTCGAACATAAAAATAATAATTCTTGGAGATATGAATAATATTAAAAAATAAAATAGATGAGTAAAATTCCTTTGTCTACCTATACCTCATTTCCTTGATCCATTAGTCCATTGAAGGGGATTTGGGTTGATTCTGTATCTTGGCAATGGTGAATAGTGCTGCAATGAACATGGTTGTGCTAGTGGCTTTACTGTTACTTTGTATGTCTTGTAGTGGATAAATGCTCAAGAGTAGGATTGCTGTGTCATAGGGTAGTTCTATATTTAGGTTTTTGAAGAACCTTCATACTGCTTTTCATAGTAGTTGAACAAGTTTATATTTCCACCATCAGAGTTCTCTTTTGGCCACATCCTCACCAGCACTTGTTTATTTTCTTGATAGTGGCCATTCTAACTGGACTGAGGAAGAAGCTCAGTGTTGTTTTGATTTGCATTTCCTTCATGGACAGAGATATTGAGCATTTCTTATATTTTTACTTCTTCTGAGAAGTCTCAGGTTAAGTCATTAGCCCAGTGATTAATTGGGTTGTTGTTTCTTTGAGGGTTTAATTTTTGAGGATTTAATTTTTTGAGATCTATGTATATTCTGGATAGTAGGTCCTTGTCTGATGTATTGCTGCTAAAAAAAACAATCTTCCCCTATTCTGTAAGCTTTCTATTTAGCTTGTTAAATATATCCTTAAAAATTATGCTAAGTGAAGCAAGCCAAACCAGAGAAACAAAGGTTACATGTTTTCCTAATCTATGGTAGATAGAATGTGCCTATAAATCTGTAAGTTAACGCTTTGGGTGATATGCAAGTGGTTATAAATGAACTAACTGAAGTATAATAGACTCTTACAGAGAGCTCAAATAATGCAATCCTTTAGAAAGACTAGGTCAAAGTTCAACAAAAAATATCACAAGGAAATGGGACATGACAGAAGGGGATGGGCCAAGGGGAGAGCAGTACATCATTTAAGGGGGTACTGGGGACAATGCAGCCAAGAATTCATTGTATATACCAATTTTAAAAAGTAAGGGAGGAGCTAGGTCAAGGGGGGTGAGAAAGTTGAGGGTACATTGCATTCATGAACTGCTTTGTTAAATGGTTATTCCTTTGTACAGCTATTTAATGATAACAAAATGTTACTAAAGTAGGTGTACTTTGATGTGTATGAATTGCTGTCATCTTCGTGGCAGATATAATAGATTGCAGGCTTTGAATTCAGAGCTTTATATTAAGTGGCAAAGCAACATTATTGATCTTAGACCTTAGCATTATTGGAGTCAGAAGGCTAAATGAGGCTCATGCAACCCTTTCTTGCTACCTTCTCATGCATTGTTTGCTGAATGCCTGAAGTCTGTGTACCCTAGATTCATGGAGTTCGATCTCTCTGTCTCTCTGACTCTGTCTCTGTCTCTTTCACTCTTTCTGCCCCGCCCTCTCTCAACACCAGATCCTGGCTCTCAAACCCCTTCATGTAACCCATAGTGAGGTACAGGGTTTTCAGAAAACCTGGGGACTAGGGGGTGTCCATCTTCTAGAACTACATTGTTTCTGTGGTGAAATTCCTATTTTCCATGGTCTCCATGTCCAACTCAGATTCCTACTTTGATAACTCTAACCACACCTCACTAATATTATCTTTAAGCCTCACTCACTATACTGCTATGAAAAACAAAACAGAAAACACAAAACAAAATGAAAACAACTGATGCAACTTGGAGCCTACTTGAATTCAAATCCAGTCAACAGAATGCTTCTGGTCAAACATAGAAAAAAAAAGACGAGTATGATAGTGATTTCTTTATCTTTAACTTCATCTGAGATTACAGTTCTGCCTGGCAATTTTTCCTGGTTTCTTGGTTAGCTCACACTTGTTGGTCATGGCTACGTTTGAAAACCATTTCACTGTGTTTAAGCCTGTAGTCTCATTCTCTCCAATGTCTTTTGATCTTTTCTTCTTAGTCTCCCTGCTCTCACTTCTCCAGGAAAATAAAACATGTTTTGTTGTCTTTTCCTTAACTTCCTAACACCAATATATCCATAAAGCATGAAGAATGGCTTCCATGTATATCATTTCTCTTTCATCACTCTGGGAAATCTATGTCCACTAAACTTATGGCTCACAACTCCATCTAATTGTAATCCAATTTTCCTTTTCTGTTTTTCTACTAGATCCCTACAATGGTATAAATGTTCTCTGTTTTCATTTTCTCTCTTTCTCCTCTCTCATTTGGGTCTTTAATCATTCAAATATGTTCAAACCTTTGCATGTTAAAAATTCTCTCCTGGGCTGGGAAGGTGGCTCAGTGGTAGAGCGCTTGTCTTGCATGCATGAGGCCCTGGGTTCGATTCCTCAGCACCACATAAGCAAAAAAGAAAAAAAAGCTGGAAGTGGCGCTGTGGCTCAAGTGGTAGAGCGCTAGCCTTGAGCTGAAGAGCCCAGGCCCAGGCCCAGAGTTCAGCCCTACGACCGGACCCCCCCAAAAAAAAATCTCTCATTTTGTCTTCCCAAAATATTTAATTACTGCCCAAGCACATTAACTTTTTCACCTTCGTTTCTATTTTTCTACTGTTGCTGTTTCAATATACAGCATTGTCACTCCCACTGAGAGTTACCTCATTAACGAGAATTAATTGCAAGTTACATCTGGTGACATACTATGGATGGTTCTGGATGCTTTTATATTTCTAACTCGTTTAGGTTGAGTCAGCATAACTTGAGCATCAAAATCCACCAGAAATGAGAATTTTGGGGAACCTCTTCTTAAATATCAATATTACAACAACATGTTCACATCATGGAAACAACTACAAGCAACAATGAACAATACAATGTTGAGCCGGAGAAGGAAGAGAAAAGGTGTGCGATATCAAGTCCATTCATAAGTGCAAACACTGACAAAACTCAACTACATTGGATAAGGGAGCAGCCATAGGTGCTAAAATGCATTTAAACTGTATCAAAATGATTACAATGCAGCAAAATTTCTTTACCAGTCTAGTGGCTGCTTCCTTTAAAAGAATTCACTAATCCATCTTGTGCTTTATGCAAATTTCTCTATGTTTTCTGTTCTTCACCATAAACCAAAAACTAAATTGCATTAAAACAGCTTCAACTCAGCATAACTTACTGAGAATTTTTTTTATTGCTGTTAAGAACAACTCCTAACTTCACTTTGTCTAGGTTTTTCAGTATCTTACATGCTAGCACAGGACAGAAACAACTCTTGAAGGAGCAATAGCTCTCAATACAGCCAACTTCACAAGTTATTCATCTGTGGCTATCAGCTCTATATGCAAATTCAGTTATCATAGCTTTTTCTCCAAAGCCCCCAAATATAAAAATGTCAGATCCAATCCATAGAACAGTAATATACCCACAGGCCTTTAGATTTCTTCTTGGCAGGGTCATTGTCCCAGTAATTTCATAAACACTCTTTATTGGCACCTAGCTATTCTTCTTATCTATCTGTGAAGTATACTAGAATTCATTTCCAGGCAAGTATTTTCTACCTATTTCATAACACACATAGAAGTTGAAATATTATAATGTAACATTTTATAGTAGACTTTCTGTACTATTATCTGAATTTTAGCCAAGCTTTTATTTTAGTTTTGTGAATGTCACAAATTAAAATCAAATAGGTAGGCATTTTATAAGTATTAAATTCACTACTTCATAAAAATTATTATTATAATAAATGAAAGATAATACCATTTCTCTAGGCAAGCATCAGGCTACTTTTTCTTTTAACTTATTCCAAGACATAAATAGAATTTATTGCTTAATAATTTCAGTATATGTTTAAAAATATCTCTCTCTGCCATTTTCTGCCTCCCCCATTTTCTCTTTCAAATTACAATAGAAACTTTAATCTGCACTGTGGTTATTTTTCACAGACAACAATCCAACAGATCTATAAGAAGTATTGCCAGGTGGTAGTACCACACTCTTGCAATATTAGATACTCAAGAGGCTGAGATCTGTGGTTGGTAATTCAAAGCCATTTGGGGCAGGAAAGTCTGTGAAACTCTTATCTCCAATTACCCCCAGAAGTGGGGCTGTGGTTCAAAGTGGTACAGTGCTAGCCTTGAGGAAAGAGCTCAGAGACAGGGCTCAGGCCCTGAGTTCAAGCTCCACAACTGACAACAAAGAAGAAGAAGAAGAAGAAGAAGAAGAAGAAGAAGAAGAAGAAGAAGAAGAAGAAGAAGGAGAAGGAGAAGGAGAAGGAGAAGGAGAAGG